TTTTTTTTCCTTTTTTATTTTATTAATTCTTTCCTTTTTTTTTTCTTTTATCAACTCTTTCTTTCTTTTTCCTTTATTAATCCTTTCCTTCTTTTTTCTTTTATCAACTCTTTCTTTCTTTTTCCTTTATTAATTCTTACCTTCTTTTTTCTTTTATCAACTCTTTCTTTCTTTTTCCTTTATTAATTCTTTCCTTCTTTTTTTCGTTTATCAACTCTTTCTTTCTTTTTCCTTTATTAATTCTTTCCTTCTTTTTTCTTTTCTCAACTCTTTCTTTCTTTTTCCTTTATTAATCCTTTCCTTTTTTTTTCCTTTATCAACTCTTTCTTTCTTTTTCCTTTATTAATTCTTTCCTTCTTTTTTTCGTTTATCAACTCTTTCTTTGTCCTTTATTAATTCTTTCCATCTTTTTTCTTTTATCAACTCTTTCTTTCTTTTTCCTTTATTAATTCTTTCCTTCTTTTTTCTTTTATCAACTCTTTCTTTCTTTTTCCTTTATTAATCCTTTCCTTCTTTTTTCGTTTATCAACTCTTTCTTTCTTTTTCCTTTATTAATTCTTTCTTCTTTTTTTTTCGTTTATCAACTCTTTCTTTCTTTGTCCTTTATTAATTCTTTCCATCATTTTCTTTTATCAACTTTTTCTTTTTTTTTCCTTTATTAATTCTTTCCTTCTTTATTTCTTTTATCAACTCTTTCTTTTTTTATTTGTTTTATTAATTTTTCCTTCTTTTTCTTTTTATCAACTCTTTCTTTCTTTTTTTCCTTTATTAATTCTTTTCCTTCTTTTTTCGTTTATCAACTCTTTCTTTTTTTTTTCCTTTATTAATTCTTTCCTTTTTTCTTTTTATCAACTCTTTCTTTCTTTTTCCTTTATTAATACTTTCTTTATTTTTCTTTTTTTCTTTCTTTCCTTTTTTTATTTTATTAATTCTTTCCTTTTTTTTTTTTTATCAACTCTTTCTTTCTTTTTCCTTTATTAATCCTTTCCTTCTTTTTTTTTTTTATCAACTCTCTCTTTCTTTTCCTTTATTAATTCTTACCTTCTTTTTTTTCTTTTATCAACTCTTTCTTTTCTTTTTCCTTTATTAATTCTTTCCTTCTTTTTTCGTTTATCAACTCTTTCTTTTTTTTTTCCTTTATTAATTCTTTCCTTCTTTTTTCTTTTATCAACTCTTTCTTTCTTTTTCCTTTATTAATCCTTTCCTTCTTTTTACGTTTATCAACTCTTTCTTTCTTTTTCCTTTATTAATCCTTTCCTTTATTTTCTTTTATCAACTCTTTCTTTCTTTTTCCTTCATTAATTCTTTCCTTCTTTTTTCGTTTATCAACTCTTTCTTACTTTTTCCTTTATTAATTCTTTCCTTCTTTTTTTCTTTTATCAACTCTTTCTTTCTTTTCCTTTATTAATTCTTTCCTTCTTTTTTCTTTTATCAACTCTTTCTTTCTTTTTCCTTTATTAATTCTTTCCTCCTTTTTTTCTTTTATCAACTCTTTCTTTCTTTTTCCTTTATTAATCCTTTCCTTTATTTTCTTTTTATCAACTCTTTCTTTCTTTTTCCTTTATTAATTCTTCTCCTTCTTTTTTTGTTTATCAACTCTTTCTTTACTTTTTTCCTTTATTAATTCTTTCCTTCTTTTTCTTTTATCAACTCTTTCTTTTTTTTTTCCTTTATTAATCCTTTTCCTTTCTTTTTTCTTTTATCAACTCTTTTTTTTTTTTTTCCTTTATTAATTCTTTTTCTTTTTTTCGTTTATCAACTCTTTCTTTCTTTTTTCCTTTATTAATCCTTTTCCTTTATTTTCTTTTTACCAACTCTTTCTTTCTTTTTCCTTTATTAATTCTTTCCTTCTTTTTTCGTTTATCAACTCTTTCTTACTTTTTCCTTTATTAATTCTTTCCTTCTTTTTTTCTTTTATCAACTCTTTCTTTCTTTTTCCTTTATTAATCCTTTCCTTTATTTTCTTTTATCAACTCTTTCTTTCTTTTTCCTTTATTAATTATTTCCTTCTTTTTTCGTTTATCAACTCTTTCTTTCTTTTTCCTTTATTAATCCTTTCCTTTATTTTCTTTTATCAACTATTTCTTTCTTTTTCCTTTATTAATTCTTTCCTTCTTTTTTCGTTTATCAACTCTTTCTTTCTTTTTTCCTTTTTAATTCTTTTTTTCTTTTTTTCTTTTATCAACTCTTTCTTTCTTTTTTTTTTATTGATCTTTTCCTTATTTTCTTTTTATCAACTCTTTTCTTTTTTCCTTTATTAATCCTTTCCTTTATTTTCTTTTATCAACTCTTTCTTTTTTTTTTTTTTATTAATCCTTTCCTTTATTTTTTCTTTTATCAACTCTTTCTTTCTTTTTCCTTTTTAATTTTTTGCTTCTTTTTTCTTTTATCAACTCTTTTTTTTTTTTCCTTTATTAATTCTTTCCTTCTTTTTTTCTTTTTATCAACTCTTTCTTTTTTTTTTCTTTTATTAATCCTTTCCTTTATTTTCTTTTATTCTTTCTTTTTTTTCCTTTTATTAATTCTTTCCTTTTTTTTTTTTCATCAACTCTTTCTTTCTTTTTTTTTTTTTAATCCTTTCCTTTATTTTCTTTTATCAACTCTTTCTTTCTTTTTCCTCTATTAATTCTTTCCTTCTTTTTTTCTTTTATCAACTCTTTCTTTCTTTTTCCTTTATTAATCCTTTCCTTTATTTTCTTTTTATCAACTCTTCTTTTCTTTTTTTCCTTTATTAATTTTTTTTTTTTTTTTTCTTTTATCAACTCTTTCTTTCTTTTTCCTTTATTAATCCTTTCCTTTATTTTCTTTTATCAACTCTTTTTTTCTTTTTCCTTTATTAATTCTTTCCTTCTTTTTTTCTTTTATCAACTCTTTCTTTCTTTTTCCTTTATTAATCCTTTCCTTTATTTTCTTTTATCAACTCTTTTTTTCTTTTTCCTTTATTAATTTCTTTTCCTTCTTTTTTTTTTCTTTTATCAACCCTTCCTTTCTTTTTTTTCCTTTATTAATCCTTTCCTTCTTTTTTTCTTTTTATCAACTCTTTCTTTCTTTTTTTTCCTTTATTAATTCTTTTTCCTTCTTTTTTTCTTTTTATCAACTTTTTCTTTTTTTTCCTTTATTAATCCTTTCCTTTATTTTCTTTTATCAACTCTTTCTTTCTTTTTCCTTTATTAATTCTTTCCTTCTTTTTTTTTTATCAACTCTTTCTTTTTTTTTTCCTTTATTAATTCTTTCCTTCTTTTTTCTTTTTATCAACTCTTTTTCTTTCTTTTCCTTTATTAATCCTTTCCTTCTTTTTTCTTTTATCAACTCTTTCTTTCTTTTTTTAAATTTTTATTAATTCTTTCCTTCTTTTTTTTTTTTATCAACTCTTTTTTTTTTTTTTCCTTTATTAATCCTTTCCTTTATTTTCTTTTCTCAACTCTTTCTTTCTTTTTCCTTTATTAATTCTTTCCTTCTTTTTTCGTTTATCAACTCTTTCTTTCTTTTTCCTTTATTAATTCTTTCCTTTTTTTTTCTTTTATCAAATCTTTCTTTCTTTTTCCTTTATTAATTCTTTCCTTTTTTTTTCTTTTATCAACTCTTTCTTTCTTTTTTCCTTTATTAATTTTTTTTTCTTTTTTTTTCGTTTATCAACTCTTTCTTTCTTTTTTCCTTTATTAATTCTTTCCTTTTTTTTTTTTTATCAAATCTTTCTTTCTTTTTCCTTTATTAATTCTTTCCTTCTTTTTCGTTTATCAACTCTTTTTTTCTTTTACTTTATTAATTCTTTCCTTCTTTTTCGTTTATCAACTCTTTCTTTTTTTTCCTTTATTAATCCTTTCCTTTTTTTTTTTTTTATCAACTCTTTCTTTTTTTTTTTTTATTTTATTAATTCTTTCCTTCTTTTTTTTCTTTTTTATCAACTCTTTCTTTCTTTTTCCTTTATTAATTCTTTTTCCTTTTTTTTTCTTTTATCAACTCTTTTCTTTCTTTTTCCTTTATTAATCCTTTCCTTTATTTTCTTTTTATCAACTCTTTCTTTCTTTTTTCCTTTATTAATTCTTTCCTTCGTTTTTCGTTTATCAACTCTTTCTTTCTTTTTCCTTTATTAATTCTTTCCTTCTTTTTTCGTTTATCAACTCTTTCTTTTTTTTTTCCTTTATTAATTCTTTTCCTTTTTTTCTTTTATCAACTCTTTCTTTCTTTTTTCCTTTATTAATTCTTTCCTTTATTTTCTTTTATCAACTCTTTCTTTCTTTTTTCTTTATTAATTCTTTCCTTCTTTTTTCTTTTATCAACTCTTTCTTTCTTTTTACTTTATTAATTCTTTCCTTCTTTTTTCGTTTATCAACTCTTTCTTTCTTTTTCCTTTATTAATCCTTTCCTTCTTTTTTTCTTTTATCAACTCTTTCTTCCTTTTTTTATTTTATTAATTCTTTCCTTCTTTTTTTCTTTTATCAACTCTTTCTTTCTTTTTCCTTTATTAATTCTTTCCTTCTTTTTTCTTTTATCAACTCTTTCTTTCTTTTTCCTTTATTAATCCTTTCCTTTATTTTCTTTTATCAACTCTTTCTTTCTTTTTCCTTTATTAATTCTTTCCTTCTTTTTTCGTTTATCAACTCTTTCTTTCTTTTTCCTTTATTAATTCTTTCCTTCTTTTTTTTTAACAACTCTTTCTTTCTTTTTCCTTTATTAATTCTTTCCTTCTTTTTTCTTTTATCAACTCTTTCTTTTTACTTTATCAATTCTTTCCTTCTGTTTTTCTTTCATCAAATCTTTTTTTTTCTTTTTACTTTATGTTGAAACTTGACTAATGCATGGAATAATAATACAACACAAATGTACTTAAAACAAAATGTATTGAAACAAGAAATTGTACACAATATTTACATATAGTCTTTTGTATATTCTTGGGAAGACCGTTCCTGGAATGTGTTGACTTAGTCGCAGTCGGGCAGAGTCTCTGGATTGAATCTCTTGATTCCTCCCCTCGTCTTCCCTGTACCAACCATATTTATATGGTCGGTACTCCACTATGCAAATTACGTGGATCCTACCACAACACTTTATTAATTCTTTCCTTCTTTTTTTCTTTTATCAACTCTTTCTTTCTTTTTAATTCATCAATTCTTTCCTTCTTTTTTCTTTTGTCAACTTTTTCTTTCCTTTTCCTTCATCATACTTTTTCTTATTTTTTTATCATCTCTATTGTTTCTTCCTTTCTTCTTTTATAAAATCTTTCCATATTTTTCTTTTTTTATCGACTCTTTACTTCTTTATCGTTTTATGAACTCTTCCGTTCTTCCTCATTTTTAAACTCTTTCCTCTTTTTTCTTTCATCAACTTTTTCTTTTTTTCTTTTATAAACTCTTTCCTTCTTTTTATTAACTCTTTCCTGCATTTTCCTTTTATCAACTCTATCCTTTTCTTTCTTCTATAAATCCTTTCCGTCTTTTTATTAACACTTTCTTTCTTTTTTCTTTTATCAACTGTTTCCGGTTTGTTTTTTTTTTCTTTCTTTTATGAATTCTTCCTTCTTTTTCCTTTTTATCAACTCTTTCTTTTTTTTTTAATAAACTTTTTCTTTCCTTTTATCAACTCTCTCCTTCTTTTTTTTTATTTTTTCAACTCATTCCAGCTTTTTTCTTTTATCATCTTTTTTTCCTTTTTTATCAACTAGTTCCTTCTTTTTTATATGTATTCCTTCCTCCTTTTTACTTTTTTCTTTTATCAACTCTTTGAGTTCTTTTTTGTTTTTAGCAAATATTTCTTATTTTTTCCTTTTTTCCAACTCTTTCCTTCTTGTTATCAATTCTTTCATTTTTGTTTTTCTTTTTATCAATTGTTTCCTACTTTTCCCTTTTATTAACTCTACCCTTTTTTATCATCTCTTTCTTTTTACTTTTATCAATCTTTTTTTCTTTTATCCATTCTTTCTTTTTTTTTTCTTTTTTCAAACCTTTCCCTTTTTTTTCTTTTTTCAATTCTTTCCTTTATTTTTCCTTTTGTATCAACTCTTTCTTTCTTTTTTTCTTTTTATCAACTCTTTCCTTTTTCTTTTATCAACCCTTTTCCTTTTTCTTTTATCGCATCTTTCCTTCTTGTTTTTCTTTTATCAACCCTTTCCTTTTTATCAACTTTTTCTTTCTTCTTCCTTTTCATCAACTTTTTCTTTCTTTTTCCTTTTTATCAACTCTGTCCTTCGTTTTCCTTTATCAATTGTTTCTTTATTTTTCCTTACTATCAACTCTATCCTTTTATTTTCCTTTTATTAAATCTTTCCCTCCTTTTTCTCATATCTTCACTTTCTTTTTACTTTTATCAATTCTTTCGTTCCTTTTATTTTTTATCAACTCTTTCCTTCTTTTTCCTTTCATCGACTCTTTCCTTCTTTTTCTTTTTATCAACTCTTTTCTTTTTTTCTTTTATCGACTCTTTCCTTCTTTTCCGTTTATCAACTCTTTCTTTCTTTTTTCCTTTCATCTTTATTTGCCTATTTCTTTCTTTTTCTCATCCTTAATTTCTCGATTTCCTTCGTTTATTTTCTATCTGATCAAATTTCTTCTTTTTTATTTCTCTTGTTCTTTCATTTGTTCCTTTTTATTCTACAGAGTTCTGTCGTCTTGTGTTACCGTCAGTAGGAGGAAAACCTGAATTAAGTCATTGTTAGGAAGAAACTAGAACCAACTCCACTAACTTTCTCAAAACCTTAGTTGTGGAGAGTTGTTATCGCCTAAATCCTGAAAACAATGACATTAAAAAAGGAACAAAACTTCATCAAAAATGTTATCGAAATATCTCACAATGGTTTGCTATCGTGTCTCGCAGACAATTTTATATAGTGAGTTCGATCTTCATTGACTTACATTGTTGCATTGTGCCAGACACACAAACTATTATCATGTTACTGAGTGTAGTAATGGCTAAACATGATACACGTGATCCCTTGAACCAAACTAAGCTAATCCAAGCCTAAAATATGCCAACACGCAGACCATTATAAGCTTACTGCCGTATAGCGATTTTCCAAGCGTAGCTTAGATGTGGCACAAGGCCGAAGATATGGGGCACCCAGTGAGGATCGAACTCACTACTCAGTCATAATTGTTCTAGTAAGACAAGCTTGTCAAGCATTATACCGCCCCGTGGTGTCCGAAGCTTACTGCCGTATATGTCGGCGTATAAGGCGACCTTTTAACATTAAAAAATTCTCACCAAAATAAGGGACACACTTATACTCCAGATAAAAAATGTGAACCATAAATCCAGACAATTGCTTACGTATTGTTTGGTCCTCACCCAAGGCTCTATTTTTGTGGCCTTGTGCCAGACAAATCTTGACCTAGTAAATACCAAAAAAAAAAAAATAAATAAATAAAAAGGTAACGCTTGTGTATTATGCTTCTTTTCTGTTTATTTATTAGATCGAACCTACTTGGGCATTTTCATCTTCAATCTGTATTTAGTTGAACCCAATGCTCGGCAATCAATCTATCAATGTAATGGTAAATCTTATAAGAAGCAAACAGCATCTGCATGAGCAATCATCGTATAATCTATATGATGCCAAAGGCAAAACTTAAAACAATCTCTCTTTCTCTCTCTCATTCTCTCTCTCTCTCTCTCTATCTGAACGACTCAGAAATCTGTGAAATAAGTCGCAGAATAATTGACATGCTTTCATCATCAGATAAAAATATAATTGCCACTTCCTCTTCCCCTGTGTAAACCAACCTCCCGGCGTTTGTAGACAATTAGCAATAGTTCGGCAATCTCAGACAAGAAAACCTGCTTCACGAAAATTGAGTTATTATCATGAATGTTTGGTACACAGGTGAGATCGACCCGTATAATCTTATTTAGTAACCTCTCTCCGCTACGTCATTAGCGCCCTGCTCAGATATCACCTGCTACCTTTCTAATCGCAGTCGAAGTGTCACTTACTCTAATTCACAATCAGACGAGAAAATTGCCGCCATTCTTGCTAAACGATGCACCTCTGAGAGAAAGTGAATGGGAGAAGGAGAGAGAGAGAGAGAGAAAAGAAGAGAGCGTAGATTGTGTGAATTAAATGAATAGATGTGGGGAGGTTAAGGCAATCAGTCAATACCTCCACCACCCGCCTCAATCAATCAGTTTCTAGTACTCCAACGTCCTGATTTAACAAGCTCTGATGTTTAGTTTTCTTTTGTCGTTGGCAATATGGCTTCCGCGATTTGAGTATACCGGAAGTCGAGTTGTCGCGAAAAAAAAAAAAAAAACTGAAGTGAATTGTCAGTAGATTTAATAACTATATTTTTAGTCTACTCATATGACGGAATCAAAGAACCCTGTGTCTTTTGCTATTTTTATTTTCTAGGACAAGCTATGATTTGGGATGATTTCTTTTTTTTTACAAGTGGTTTACCCAGTTTCCATTGTATCATTATGGCTGTTCTATCAAACATATTCCCTTTGAGCCAACGTATTGTATACAATATACATTTGCTTTTTGCCCAGTTTTCTTAATTTGAACTTTGATGTAATTGATTCTGATATATATTCTCTGGGCTGCAATTATAAATTTTGTTGCTATTTTTTATTTCCTCGGCCTACCCAGATCTATACATTATTAATTTCATTATATTTATAATAAAAATTCTATAACAGTAAGTCTCCCAAATGTTCTCTTTGGTATTCAAAATGTTTCACCAGTACAGTCTTTTGGATGGTTTCGACTTTTATTTAGATATCCAGTTGTTCCACTAATTTTACTGAACGCTTTAGAATTATTCCAAGTGCTCAATCAACAATAGGCACAACCGTCACTTTCGTGTTATACAATTATTTTTCACTTCTCAAGTGAGATTTCCAGGTTTATCTAATTTGTTCCTTCCTTTCGGTTTTATCTTGATTTTAACTGAAACGGCGACATTTAATATCTGACAATTTGCCACTGCTTTCTGAGACAGCAGGAATGATCAGATGATGACCAGAAGGTACTTAGTCGAAACGTTGTGCCTATAATAACATCCATAACAAATAAGGTGAGAACAGCAGTTCGAAATAATACGAGAATATTGACACTTACTCGTCTCAGAAATGAAACACTAAATAAGGAAAAGCGATAGCAACCCGCCATCAAAAACAAATGTCAACAACTATCTGACATTGGATATAAAAGGCGCAAAAAACACGCCGATAACTGTGGCGTAGTGGATATAGGATTGTTAGTCATCTTGTTTTCATGAGTTCAATCCTTGGGTTTGGTTGTGTCGCACCAATTCAACAGAGACAAAATATCACAATAATCAAGAGATATCCCATACCAGCCAACCAATTAACACCTGATGATGACCAGGGGGTACTTGGTCGAAACGTTAATATTATTATTGACACTATTGTGGTCACGCGATCGAAGTTTTAGCTTGATCGCACCAGTTTTTTGGCTGAAATGGTAAGATTTTTCGTTTTTCTTCTGAGATGTCTTGAAGGAAACCATGCCCATAGTTGTTCTGTATGCTATTTTTTTAAATTGCCATTTTCGTCATGCGTTCCCCCATTGGTCTCCTTCATGTCCTACTTTTATCACTATTCTCTCTAGTGTAGTTTCCATATGTTTTGCTGTTCTTATATATATATATATATATATATATATATAGTTAAACCTAGAGAGCCAGAAAAACCAAGGTTTCACCTAAGCGGTTCGTCAGGGAAGGCTGGCTTTATTTATTTATTTATTTAGTTAGTTAGTTAGTTAGTTAATTTGGGTACTCGCATCGGTTTTTTTTTTTATTTGGGCCTTGGACTTGCATGCTGGACGATTATTTTCGGTTAACGTACATGTTCTTGGTTCTTTCTTTTTTTTATACCTTTTTTCCCCTTTGGTATTGGCTTGTTTATTTGCAAATCAAGACACCGAAAGGTTTTTCTGAGAGCAGTATAATTCTTATATATATATATATATATATATATATATATATATATATATATATATATATATATATATATATATATATATATATATATATATATATATATATAGATTAAAACATTTTATATTTAACGTTCTTTTTATAGATACAAGTATTTAAGTAAATCCGACCTTGCTTACCAAACGCTTCTTTGTGGCCGAGTCGGTTAAGGCACGTCAGCGTAAATGACGGTTCCATATAGGATGCAGGTTCGAATCCTGTCAAAGGACGAATATTTTCTATGAAAAGTTCTCGGACGTTCAGGCCGGTAAATGTTATTTAATACTGTTTATTATAAACAGAGCATTTACTTAAATACTTGTATCTATAAAAAAGAACGTTAAACATAAAAATGTCTTTAATAAATAAATTGTCGGACTTAGTCCATTTCTTAATATATATATATATATATAGGGTGTATCAAAAATACCTTTACAGACTTTGGGGGTGGGTTCCTCACGCCAAGATAAAGACAAAAATATAAACATATCTCAGCAAATCCTTCGTTTTTAAGTTAAGTTTTAAAAATGTTGCAGTAGATGGCGTTGTTTTGCCATGTAGACTAGGTTATATTTGTTATTCGTATACATTTATGACTTGTCTGTCTTCAGCGTTTAACGTGTGTAGTAATGAGTTAACTTAGAAGTGTTCCGTTTAACAATGGCAGGATATTCATATTGGGAGCAGGCAGATATGTTTTTCACATACGGCCGCGCGAATCGCAATGAACGCGAGGCATCATGGCAAATTGCTTTTCCAGAACGAACGCAGCCGAGTCACCCAACCTTTGCTGTTGTTTATCGTCGCGTTGCTGAGATAGGATCCGTGGCACTGCGAACTATGGATCGAGGAAGACAGAGAACATATTCTACGGGTTGTCGGAGACGACCCCGGTAACAGCACAGGTCAAGTGGCCCTAGCATGTCGGACATCTCATAGTACCACATGGAGGGTACTTCAAGAGCAGCTCCTGTATCCGTACCATTTGCAAAGTGCGCTGGATCTGATCACCCTCTGATCAGACCCTCTTATCACTCACCACGAGTGAACTTTTGCCGATCCGTTGTTTATCTCTTCAGTCTTGTTTATAGATGAGGCTACATTTAGAAGAGATAGAATAACAAAATTTACACAACCAGCATTTGTGGACGGCTCGGAAACCTCATGGTACAGTACAGGCTAGATACATGAATTAGTTTACGATTAATGTGTGGGCTTGAATTGGAGGTGAAAGTCTTGTAGGTTCATATGTTCTCCCATCACATCTTACGTTAGTTGTGTGCAAGGAATTTATTTTAAACACACTTCCAGACCTGCAAGATGTACCTCTACTAATACGAAGACGCACATGGTTCATGCATAATGGTCACATTGTTCGCTATATGTTCTGTCATATTTTTCAAGCCCTCTTTTAAGCTCTAGAAAATTGAACTCTTTCTGATGCTATGTAATGTCCTTTTTTGTTTCCATTTTCTCTAAAAATTCGTCGTTGGCATTCTCAGCCGCCTTCTCTAGAAACACAGTTCTGTTGCTTCAAGAGGAGATTGTCCAGCTTCACTGCCATATCGGAGGTCGGATATTGCATAACAGTTTAGAAATTTTATCTGTTTCTAAGGATATATATATATATATATATATATATATATATATATATATATATATATATATATATATAAGTGAACATTGAAGTCAACACTCATATTTCATGCTGGACGCAATCGTCAATATATATATATATATATATATATATATATATAAGGCAGCAGAATATGTGTGTGTGTTCGTTTATATGTTTGAGCAGATCTCCTACATTTTTCAACCGATTTCGACCAAATTTCACACAGTTACTGCTAATGGCCCTGCAGAGGTTTTGACGGCACCAAAAATTGATTTAAATCAATACTTAAATTAATTTTATCGATTTTTCATTTTTGATCGGACGCACGCGTGTGTAATTATGTGCGTTCACTGCACACAAGCCGATATGGACACTTTTCATGTCAGAATTAATAGCAGTCGCATAATTAGAAAAAAGTCGGATTTAAGTGCTTATATGGAAATAAGAAAGGACAAGAATGGCCATATTTTGGTTTCGGATGCAAAAGTTATCACAATGAAGGATTTCTGTTGCAGCCGAACTTTGCGCTCCAAAAGCCAATCGGATTAGTGTTATTAGTCACGCGTGGTTCGCGCGATGCTTAATGCTTGCTGCTGATTGGCCCATTCACGCTTCGGGGTCATGCGAGATCATGTGTGAACAGGGGAGGGGTCAGGTGTGCGCGTATCAAGCACCCCAAATGGGGTAGAGGTTTCAGGTAGCCTTCTTTTATTTCAGGATTTAACACTCATACCATGGTTTTTAAAAATGATCTTTTAATGTTTCAATGCAGACATTCATTACTTTCCATGTTTTCTGCCGTTGCACAGTAAAGTAAACGTCAAGGCCATTTTAAAAGGGATTTACAGAGCTACATGTCAAATATTTACCAGAATAATCAGTAAAAACAAGGTGAAACTGCTGCTTTTTAGGTGTTTGTAACCCATTTAGCCTACTAAAGCATAGGATTGAATTCAGTGAGCAATCACTAACACATTTCATGCCATTTCACGCCACTACTTTTAAGCCAAGTGGACAGAATCGGCTCCTCCAATTGTTCAATTTTTTTCAATTTTTCATATTTGATTGCATTTTTTCATTCGAGGGGACACCGAGGGACTGTTATGTCTTTTCATGCCGTTTACGTGTAGCAAAAGACACCTACTCGCTATAATTTT